CCCGCCCCCCGCCCCTCGTCGCGGCCGGGCTCCAGGCCGGGCTCCAGGCCGGGCAGCGACCTGAGCCAGCACAGCCTCTGCGACGTGGACGGCCAGTCGTCGGGCTACGGCTCGTCGCGCTCCACGACGCGCTGCTTCAACTCACTGCGGCGCCGCTCCTCCAACCTCGGCGTCGGCGCGCCCAAGAGCTCCCCGGCGTCGCCCGAGCACCAGTTCCGGTTCCGGTCGCTGCGCCTCCACCCGCACCCGTTCCGCCCGGACGTCGCCGCCCCGGCCCCAGCGCCCTCCGCGGCCGCCGCGGCCGCCGCGCCCCTCACGACCACCTCGACGTCGGCGTCCACGACGGCGCTCGCCACGGCGGCGGCCGCCACCCCCAAGGCCGCGGGCTTCCGGCCGCTCAAGCCCGCCCGGGCGCACTCCGTGTCGCTGTGCGCGCGGCCCGTGCGGCCCGTGGCGCGCAGCGTGTCACGCAGCGCCGTGGACGACAAGGAACTCTTCGGGCTGCCCGGGCTGGCGGGGCTCAGCAAGGCCGGCAGCGCGCCCAGCCTCACGAGCCCCGCCCTGGTGGCCAGCGTCGCCAGCGTCGCCACCCGCAAGCTGTCGGTGGGCGCGGCGCCGCTGCAGCAGCAGCAGCAGCCCCTCAACGTCAACCCCAACTGCGCCGTGCACGGCGACCGCGCCAGGGCGGCGGCCACGCCCCCGACGCCCGCGCCCAGGAAGGCGGCCGCGCCTAGCGGCCGGGTGGCTGCGGCCGCGTCGACGGGCACCAAGCACACCTACCAGAACGTACCCATCCCCATCGTGCCCAACGTGGCGTCCTCCCCCGCCCGCCCGCCGGCCCACACCAACGCCGCCGGCGACCTTGGGCACGACGATCAAGGTCATGACCAGCACGATCCGGTAAGCTACCCGCCCCATCCCGGCCCCAGCTACACCACACCACTGTAGTACGAGTAGAAGTAGACTTCGACCGTAGACAGTATTTGCTTGTTATTTTCGTCTGCTCCATGTTCGACCAGGGATTTCTAGACTGGCGGGGATCGACAGGGGTCTTCAACTTCAATGAGTGTTAAGACGTCAGTTCACATGAACTCGGGTCTCGTATCCCCCCCCCCCTTCCCCAATCCACTTCTACTCTGCTTGGTGACTAATCTAACTAATTTGACTAACCCCTGTGTGTCCGTGTGTGCATCCTCTTCGCAGACCCTGCACCTCAGCCAGAGCCACCTGCAGCACCCGCTCTACCAGCTGTCCTCGGGCCCGGCCCTGGGGTCGCCGCTCGGCCTCGGCCACCACGGCCTTGGCGGCCACCATGGCCTCCACGCCGGGCTGGGCGAGACGACGCTCGTGTCGCGGCAGAGCCACGGCCTGGGCTACGGCCACAGTGCCACGCTGCAGAGGCCGCCCTCGCGGCACAAGCAGCCGCAGGCCTCGGCCAACAACCACCACCAGCAGAGGCTGTCGTCGTGCGCCTCGCTGCCGCGGCGGCAGGGCCACGGCCAGGCCTCGGTGCCCGCCATCGCGCGCGGCCTCGGCGGCCCCGCCTCGGCCATACCCCCGTCCATTCCCCCTCTCCCCTACTCACAGCCGCCCAGCTACGCCGGGCTTGTGGACACCAACAGTAGTGCCATTTATTCAGACATTATTGGGGCCAGAAGAGGCCTCTCGGGTGGTGGTGGTGGAGGAGGAGGAGGAGGAGGCGGCGGTGGGGGTGGGGTGGGTAGTTCGAGAAGAAACTATGCCAACAGCCTCCACCACAACCACAAAGACAGAGAGAGGCAGGTCCCACCTTTATATAGTGAACATAATGACTTAGACTTGGACATGGATCTGGACCATGCAGTGCTAAAGTTCCACGATGTGGGTCAAGAGATTGATGTGTGAAAAAGACTTTTGTGTGATCATCGGGATAGTATTGCAGGTAAGGCAATAGTTATATTCTTAATTGACCGACGAATTTAGGTTCCAAACATTTAGAACTGTAGAATTGGCTCAAGGTGGATGGGATCTTGCATTCTGTGTGCTGTGATGTGTGGCCTTGTTTCTAAAAACAAAATCCCTTTTTATGTGTCAAGTTGAAAAGCCGTTGCTTACCCTGTATAATTTCCATATTACTAACCCAGACACATTTTGAAAGTGAGCTCACAAAAAATAACGTATTTCTGTTTATTGTTTATTGGTTTAAAATAATTCACCTCTTGTAGCAAGGTTTGTCTGGCAAAGTCTGCCGGTAGGTTCTCGATAATGGGCGTTCTCGGAGGCGACGTTTGCTTGGGTATGGCTTATTTGGCTACGCGCGAAAGTGTTCTCATTTCTCTATAGCCCACGGCGGAGTATTAGTCCGTAGTTCTGAGGTTCCGACGGGTGCCGGGCCAGGGCTAGTGGTCCGGCTAAGCGCCTGCAACGCGCTGGGTGGGCCAGCCCGCCTAGCGCCTGTGTAGAACAGGCTGCCCGCCCTACCACCCCTCTAGACATTGCAGGACTGTAGTTCATGTGACGTCACATCCCTTTACCCGTGAAAACTGTCAAATTATTTTGGATGCTGCTGTGACATTTCTATTCATGTGACTTTCATTTAAAATTTACCATACTTGGTCCGGCTGCGAGTCACGTTGAAAAACGAACGTGACACCACGATTTAACCAAAATGTGACCCTTTTTAGATGGTCACCGATGTGACTTCACATGAATTGAATAACAGTGGGGACTAGAGCAAGGACAAGGGGACGTTTCAGCCTGGTTAGCGTTGTCTCCTGGAACGTGCATTTTTTTATTGAGGCAAACGAAACTCAATACACCTTCGTGCCTCGCTTCAAGTGTACCTCTCTTTTGCTACAGCCCTACCGACCCGAGTTCTCCGACTTGGACTACGCGGATGTAGACTACCGCTCTTATGGACCCATCAACTACAAGGCTGCCTCCATCCTGGCTGCCGAGCAAGATCAGAATCAGGGTACACAAAGTCCAACTGGTCTGCTCACTCCTGGTACATGGAGACCACCTCCACCCCCTGATGAGGATTACTTGTAGTTCTGCTCTGCAAAAAACAGTTAAACTTAAAACTGTGTTGTTACTCTAGATTTACTTACTGAGGGGCGCACTTTGTGATGTTTATGGGTGGGAAGCCTCTTATTGCCTATGCTTTCTCCTCTCCAATTCTTCCTTGTGAGATTTTTCTGTGGTCTGCCATGATCAATTACTTGCAAAAGCTGCTGGAAGTGTTATTGCTATAATTTATTAAATATCAATCACACTTCTAGCTACATCATTTACTTGCTTATTTATTTGTGCATGTTTATTTATTTTTTATTTATTTATTTATTTATTTATACTCTGTGTAGTTCATCTATTTATTATTTTTTGTCACGTTGTTACTTTGTTTTTAGTATATATTGGAAATACTGTATTACTTCATCAATAATTGGTCACATTCTGTTTTGGCAGCGTAGTTAAATCTCATTTTATCAAAACATATTTACTCAATGTAACTTGAGTGCTGTTAAAGCACTTGTCAAGCTAAGGGCTTCCTTTCCATCCTTCCTTTTCTTAAGCGTGCTGGATCACGTAAAATTTTGACATTTGCTTCTCACCCATGCGCTGTACCTCAAATAAGATATAATTGAGAATTCAGGATGATGAAGGAGCCTTGTTGTGAGTGCAAAGTATATTCTTATTTTGCATCAAATAGGTTTATAGGCATGTTTCAAATGGACTGCTCTAAGAAGAGAGTGGAATCCTGAGACACTGTTCATCTGATATCAAGTGATTACCTCTAGAATCTAAGAGAAAAAAAACAAACCAAGACAAAAATTATATCTCAGGATTCTGAAATTGATTTGGGATAAAGGCTCCCTTTTATGAAGGACCAATTGATATGCATATGGGCTGCCAAAATTTCTTTTGTTGTGTTATACTCTATTCCACATTTTTAAAAGTGAGTTCTGTAACTCCATGTCCATAGCACATAGGTATTTTTGTACAAACTGTAAAATGAAATTTTAGGTGTGAGGGCAGCTTCACATTTGTGTATATAGCAGCTAGAAAAGTTTATTTACTTACTTTGAGTGAACTGTACTCATGGTTTGATTGTCTAAATTAATTCATACTTGTATGATATTCAAAAAAAATTACGACTCCCTCATTTTGACTCATTCTTATTGCCATATCCAGTTGCATTTGTTTTGTTTGATTTGTTATTGTGGTTTATTTCTTGTTCTATGTTGGCTTAATAAATTACCAAGTAATTGCTTTACATTGAGGGGGAACAAAAACTGAGGTAATGACAACATTTCATAAACGATAAAGTGATGCAACAAAAGCTGGATTGAAAATGTTATTTGTAAACAATTGTAAATGAACAATGACAATGTTTTGTATAGTATACTTTGTAATATTTGAAAAATGATAATCTTTAAATGTGGTTGTGCAATATTAATATGGTTTTGATATGGCTGTTACAAGATTAGTTGGTCATTGACACTTTCAGAAAAATGATCTGTGGTGAATCTGCGTATGGGATTGATGTTCTGGAGTGAGTGAGTGTTTTCCATGTTTTATAGATATTTTCAAAATTCATGACTGGGAATGATTTTAGGACCCTTCAAAATCACTACAAGCTCTTTGCAGTCCAACTTCATTTTTCTTTACAGGTGAATGAGTTGTTTTTTTGTGTTTTTTTTTTCATTGTTGCTGTGATTTGTTATGTTATGAATGATTTCACTTTAAGTAAAAAGCCATCTCAGGAGCATCCAGAAAGAAAATAATCATTTTGGTTTAATCGTAACAAAATACTTTGGCAGAATGGTTGTGCAGGCACACAAACAATTTATTTTCTGCCGTGTTTGACCAAATAACCATCAGCCATAATATTACAACAGGTACTTAACACTCACCATAGCAAGAGTGTTCAAAGTTTAACGGAGTGTCTATAGAGAATGTCATTGACTGATCTAGCTCAAGCAGTTCATTCTATAGTCTTTGAGCAAAAGATCCTGAGAGTGCTGTTAGTTTTTTTTTTGTTTTTTTCTTCTTCTTATTATTATTATTATGATTGCTTTCCTTAAGTATTACCTCAAAATGAACTGACCACTACTTCTGTACCAAAGAAATGTTCTTAAAAGCATAAGAATACTGATGTACAATATTATAATTTTTATTTCTTTATTATTTACAGTGCTTTACCTTTGCCCACCTGGTTTTAGCAATCGGAGCAAGACTTCACTGGGACTTTTCATTGAACAACTTCAGCTGTTGAATTAACGCCTATTCTCTAATATCAGCAGTATGTCTGCTAAAGGCATCAAACCTCTCAGTATTTAGTAATTACTGGCTGCCTTCTTGAAAAATAACTGCAATGGATATATGACTCAATTTTATTTTGGCTTCCATAAGACTGAAAATATGGCCTGATGAGAGCAGTAGAAGAGCTCAGTGGGAATCCTGCTTTAAATCACGTTTCCTTCCACCACCGTCATCACAATAAAATATAGTCAAATGTCTTGAGCACATCTGATATCTGAGTGTAATGATCAATTTTGTCTTTTATTTCTTGGTTAAATTCTATCTAATCACATTTCTTTTCTACCTTGTTTTTCTTTATATTGTTGTTAAACTGGGAAACATAAAACAGACATTAGTCCTGCTTTCTAAAGTTTGTTTGTGCCATGGATCAAATGATGTGTCATACAGCTTAATTTTCAGACTGCTTCAGCATTTGCTCCTCGTTACTTGTTATTAATAATGCAATTTAAGATCGTTAGATCTTTGACTGAGTTACAGCCATTTCTACAAAGTGGTAAAGTCAGCACAAAAAGTCACGTTTGTAGATTTAAACTTAATCTGCATTTAGCTACCAATTTCTTTCTTCTTCTTTTTCAGTACTGATTTTCCTTAAAGAAATTAATTTTAAAATTAAAATCTGGAAGAAATATATTTTGTTTATGAGAAAAGGCGACTCTTTGTTCCATTCATTCTGTGTTATCAAAGATTTATGTTTTAGGCTGAAAGTACATCCAAAATCCGGGATGATATTGAAATTTCTGCAGATGATTGTTTGATCTAGTCTGCTTAAGCCACACCACATCAACCTAGGTGCCTCAATCCTAAAGCCATTATTCAATTTATTTTTACTGAAAAACTTGGATGCGTGAAAGCAATTGAAAAGTGGCTTTGGAGACAAAATCTTTCATAATTACATTTCTTTTCAAATTTTGGTTCCTATCCAATGTTTTTGTTTATGCTGCTTTCATTTGTTGCAAAATATTGACTGTAACATCATACTGGTTTTTAAAACCAAGGTATTTGTTCAGTGTGCTATATTTGTTGTACTTAATGTACTGAATGTACCTTACAATATTGATGATTTTGCCTACCTTTTATGCTATGTAAAATGGTGCAAAAAATGCGCCATCTAATAGGAGTCTGGCAAACTTGATGTCTGCATTAGTTAATGTAAATGTTGTTGTATGGTAATAATCAATGTGTCAAAACTCAATGTGTGATATAAAGAATCCATTAAAATGTTGTGATAAGATTTGTCTCTCTTCAAAATCCATTCATTTGATTCGGAAGTATATACTGTATCATCATGGGGACATGTGCTGGGATTTGGATAAAGACATAGGGCCATATAATCAAAGCACCTTAGTTTCTTTACTTTGATGAGGAATTTTGGTATATTCAAATTAAAAGAAGAAAATACAGAATAATAATGAAGATATAAAATACTTTTCATCTTTAACAGTGACTTCAAGTATTGAAAGGACTTAATTCAACTAAATGGTAGGAATTTTTACTGAATCCATCTCATCCTTGTGTTGGGCCAACTCAAACTGACGTTTCATCTCATGAGTCAAAATTGATAAGGCTGAGCTCACATTTAGGCTCTCCACATGGTTAAGCATAGGTATGTTTACACGACATCTGTTGTGGGACTTTCCTAAATTCAGAGCATCGGGTGACAATCCGGTTTCACCACCAAGCACTAGGAAGATGCTGCTCATAGCTGGATAATTGATTAAGTAGTAAGAGAAAACAGGCAATTTCTCAACTGTTGTTTCTATATTTGAATCAGATGAATTAATTTCATGTTGGTCAGATTCTAAATCTTCCAGATGTTGCTGAATCGATTCATGAGATACATCATTTCGTACTGTTTCTTTCACACCCTCATGGTCTGCGTCTGAATTATCCGCGAACATCAAATACGAATTAGGTTCTAAGACAGCTTCTATATGGTTCCACTCAAGATTTTCTAAGATATTTAGATGAAAGTGAGACCCCATGGCTGACCTGAGAACTTTTTCATTCCACAAATCAACACAACCTGTAACAGCCATACAGTTAGTAACTTTCATAAGAATAACTGATAATTCTTTTCACAAAACATGCTCTTTCTGTGTACTTACCCTTGGTAAGAAAAAGTGACCTGCATCCAGCACTAGCTGCAACTCTCAAAATACTGCCAAGATTCCCCGGATCACGAATATTGTCACAAATTATTGAAAATGGAAAAACGTTGGCTGGTAATTGGGCACTGGTGTCAGGCTTTTCAAAAAATCCTAGGTAAGCAGCAAGTCGTTTAATTAATAATTAATCAATTTTTAAAAAAATTTAAAGGTGTAAAATTAAATAAAAAGATTGAGTCTCACCTACAACGCCAGGCGGATTGGTAAGTTTGGACCATCTTCTTATCTTTTCATAAGTCACTTTCTGAAATGCAAATTTTCGTGGTGGTAATTGCAACTTTGTGACATTTTCTACTCGACTAAAGAACACAGCTTTCGGTTTGAGGTTTGCACGCAGACCCTCTTGGATGAGCCGCGTTCCTTCTAACATAATCAATCCAGATTTCAGCCTGCTTTTAGCATTTGAAGTGGCCAGAGCAAATCGACTATGAGAGCAAAGGTACAAAATTATTATTTTTCTATAAACAAGTGGGGAATGGGAATCGCTTTTTGTAAACTAGCTCTAACTGAGCATTACCTCAGGTCTGTGTCATCTTCTCCTTTCGTATCATACGGTGGAAACCCTGGAGGGAGGCGAGACGGTTTGCCTTCTAGCGTAGCCGGGTCTCCACTTGCATCTGAGATCTTTGAAGGAAGTCGATCCACTGGGGGGACTTCGACAACAGGCCGAAACCGACTCCGCTTTCGCAACAGTTCCTCATTTGTAATCACTTGCACAGGATTTCTTGAAAATTTATTCGAATAGTGTCGCGTGTTCCGCAGTATACTCCACGCTCCTAACCTCATTGTAACAGACCAACAATTCATAGTTCTTAGCAACACCAATGCCAGGTGCTCAAAGATACAGCCCAGACAGCACCAAAAGAAAAATTTCTTTGTAATCAAATCAGCAATGATCTGAATGGATCATTCCAAGACTTCAACCCGGGAGCGGACGATATGTTTACATGGGCAGTTAACCACCAATACACAATAAACAACAAAGAAGCAGACGACGGAAGGGGGCGCAGAGGAGACAAGAGCGAGGCTACAGTAAGGGTAAGAAAATAAAGACGGTCGGAAGTGCGGCTGCGTGATCCAAACATCCCCGCCCCACGAAATTATTATAATTTTACATGAATACAGTGTTTTAGTGTCACTCCTGATATTAAGAAACATGAGGTGTTGCGTGAAGAACTGTCCGACGAAAAAGCCGAACCCAGAGGAGGGTATCTCGATACACGTGTGAGTTTCTTTGTGTACATTTCAGCCAGGTTATGTTGCCCATGGTTAGTGGCTCTCGGCTCAGTGCATTTGTTATTGTTTACTCTAGCGAGGATTAATCCTCGCTAGGTTTACGTTGACTAATTCATTCCTGTTGTCTTTAGCTTTCCCATGGACCCTGACACTCGACAGAAGTGGACTGATTTTGTATCAAAGGAGAATGGAGAGCCCTTTGTGCCTTCGAAGTCCGGCCAAGGGTCTCGCCTATGCGGTTTACATTTTGACGCAGACAATTATTTGGACAAACGTCCGAAGTGGCGTGGCGTGCCTACGGTGTCTGTGAAAAGGTTAGCAATTATAATTGTTTTGTTGATTGCAGTCATAAGGTTACCTGCTAGTAAAATTGTTTAATTTGATTGTTAATTATCTTGTTGCAGGAACTACACTCCTTTCAAAAATAAAGAAGTCGGAATGGTACTGTCCACTCAGAATGTGAATGCTAACACCAATGCTGTATTGTCTCAAACCGTGAAAGTAGAAGTTTTTCAGTCGAGTTATAATGACATCTCAACGCATGGAGGGAAGATTCCAGAACACAAAAGGTACTGCAAGTGGTAATGTTATTTTAGGCTTTCAATTGTGATTGACATAAATTTTATTTAATTGGTTCTATTTTTATTTATTTTTTGAATTTCTAGAAACGATTCTATAAATGCTGCCGAAAGCACACAGGATGAGGGACAGCCTAAAATTCTCAAGAGGTAAGTTTCATTAGACGCTAATACTTAAAGGAACAGTAATGTAGTTTTTGGCATCCTATAGATGCCCATGGTAAAACTGGGTGGACCTTTCAATTCCTATTAGACAGTAAACTAAGAAAGAACAACAGATTGTAGGTATTGAGGCATCTCGGTCCCAGACACTGAAGCGCAGAGGAAAGTTAATTGTTTTACTTGAAAGTTTGCGCTCATGATTTCTCTGACAATATTGGGTTTGAAATTTTCTCATGAGGTTTTCTAGATTCAGAATCAAAAGGACTATAAACTCCCACAAGGGTTTTGATATACTATGTAAAAGAAAGATTTTTCATTACACTTTAGGGGGAAAAAATGTTTGTGAATTTTTTTGTAACAAAATTGGAGGTGATTTGTTCATCAAAAATCTTTGTTTTACATAGTATATCAAAACCCCTGTGTCAATTTGTAGTCCTTTTGATTCTGAATCTAGAAAACCTTATGGAAGAATTTTAAACCCAACATTTTTGGAGAAATCATGCGAGCAAACTTTTAAGTAAAACAATTAACTGTCCTCTGCGCTTCAGTGTCTGGGACCAAGAAGATGCCTCCATACCTACGATCAGTTGTTGTTTCTGAGTTCACGGTCTAATATGAAATGAAAGATCCCCCCTTAAAAGAACCTTAACTACTGAACTGACTGATTTGATATATCTCTTATGTGTGTTCTTTTCCAATAGGAATTTAATGCAAGCGTTTCCAAGGACCCCAACTGCTGGGCAGCAACATAACTTTGACGTGGGACCTAGTCCACCAAAAAAAGACAGGTAAGATTACCTTTGTTTCGTTTTACATTTGGAGAAGAATCCTGTTTCTCTTTATTTGTTTTATTCGTGTTAATAATTGTGTTTTTAAATTTCAGTGTTGACCCGAGTTTGTGTAAGCGAGGCAATCGTGCCTGTCGACTTTGTGGCCACTCGTTGGCTGGCTCAACCCACATCATGTAAGTTTAAATTATTAATTTACACTGACAGCAATGTCTTGCACATAAT